GTATAAAATGATGACCTCTAAAATCATGACCGTAAGTGAGAATATTTCGTATTCCACCCTTCATATTTACCTTTAATATAATTGCTCTATTTATATTACGGATGAAATAAAGTTTTTCTCAGTAGTTTCATTTAAACACCTTTTGTTATTGATGGCTGTGTGTGGACTGAGGTGGACTGAGCAAGAAGTCAAGTGAGTTCAGTGTTGTTGAGATTGTTGGGTCAGTCACTAATGACGTTGTGTGTGACATCATGTATAGAGTGGCTTGTTTGACTGTTTACCTGTTTATGTATGTGTTTTGATGGTTGACTTGGTCCTTCACAACACTTGAGAGCTGCTGGAGTTGGGGAGTCGACTTATACGGTAGGTATACCTCTGACCAAATTTTTTTGCTTGAAAAGGGGGGTCGACTTATACATCAGGTCGACTTATACGCTGCCATATATGGTAAGCATGGACACTACATTAATTGGATGAAGCAGAGGAGACAGGGCTGGGTGGGTCATCAAGTTTGCTTTTTTCAGACAGGCTAACATACCTGCTTGTTGAAGGTATTGGATCATCTTTAGGGAGTGAAGTGGCAGCACTGGTGGGGCGTGAGGAGACAGTAGTGGGGGACTTCTTAAAAAAAATATGTCTAATTTAGACTGCAGTGTGCCTTTTCTTTCCATTGTAAATCTCCCTGTAGCAAGCAAGTGCATCTTGGATCGGTCTGTCAACTTTTGCAAAATGCTCAACATTTTTATCCATTTCTTCAAACACTTGCATCCCCTATTAACAGTAGCAAATGCCTCTGCCATTTGTTTCACAGAAAACTTTTTTTGGGGGGCAGATTCTTCTTTTACATTTTGTCTCTCTTCTTGCTCTGTAAATTTCTGTGCCTCCAGTTCAATAAGACCCTCGTTACTTAGCTCTTCTGCTACACTTTCCACCAACTGCTCAATATCTTCATTATCAATTTCTAACTCCAGCCATTTACCCATCTGCACTATCTTGTTACTAATCTCAGAAATTGCTTCATCTTCATTAAATCCTTTGTAACTGTTCACATATCTTTTCAGGACTTCTTCCATATTCCATTCATGCACTGACCTGTAACCTCATCCCATGCTGTTCTTTATACATTTCAAAATGTTGTAGTCCTTCCAAAACTCTCTGAGCGGTTTCTCACCTTCAGCAGCAGCAACAGCCTGAGCGAAGGTCGTACGTAAATAATACGCTTTAAAAGCAGTAATAGCACCTTGATCTATGGGTTGGATGACAGAGGTAGTGTTAGGTGGAAGGTAGACTACCTTAACATCAGGGTGCAGGTCGTCCAGGTGTGGTGGGTGTCCCGGAGCATTATCTAAAATTAATAAAATCTTGAAGGCAACCCCTTGTTGCAGACAACACGCCTTGGCTCGTGGAATGAAACAACTCGGGAATCAATCCACAAACAGAGCTATGGTAATCCATGCTTTCTTATTACTGCGATAAGACATTGGCAGTGTGTGGTTGCCGACATTTTTAAAAGACCTTGGATTCTCTGAATGATAGATCATGAAGGGTTTTACCTTGAAACCAGCTACATTCACTCCCAACAGAAGTGTGATTTGGTCCTTGAATGCCTTGAATCCCGGCATGGTTTTTGTCTCTTTGTAGATGTATGTCCGTTCTGGCATGCGCTGCCAGAATAAGCTAGTTTCATCCACATTAAATATTTGCTCAGGCAAATAATTTCCCTCCACAATGATACGATCTAGCTCCTCCTTAAAAGCTTCAGCATTACCCACATCAGCACTTGCTGCCTCTCCACTCACCTTTACACTGTGCAAATTGTAACATTTCTTAAACCTTTGGAACCACCCATGACTTGCTGTGAAGTTTTGGTCGCACTCATCTCCTGCCTGCTCTTTCAGGTTTTTGAAAAGGCTTCTTGCCTTAGCCTATATGGTTAGAAGGTTTAAGGGTACATGCTTTTGCATCCACATCACAAGTAATTTCTCCATTTCATGAAGAGGACCTTGTCTTTTTTTTTATTATTGTTCCCTTTATAGGTGCTGATCCTTTCATTACTTCACGAATTCGTTCCTTGTCCTTCAAAATTGTTCATATCGTTGAGTGAGAGAAGCCAAGGTCACGAGAAATGGTTGCTATCGTTTTTCCATTTTCATATTGCATTATTATTTTCATTTTCATCTCAAAAGTAACTGAATATCTCATTTTCTTCTCGGCAACACGAGAACTCTCACTTTTACGCTTGCCAGCCATTTTAAAGGGAATTACAAACAAAAATTTTGTCAGTACACAGCGCGATCACTAACAACAACAACGACGGCCAAACACCAACTGAGCGGGCTACGGCGTGGATGCTGTACACCACGAGGCGGCTCAGCCCATGCTGTCATACGGCATCACATTACGACCTAACGTCGGGACTCGAAAATACGTAATGTGAAAAATATTTTATACGACCATGGCGGTCGTATGTCCAGGTTGTTGTAAGTCTAATGTGTCGTAAGTCGAGGAGAGACTGTATGGGTTTTAAATATACTCAAATTAATCGCTGTCTTGCAAGGATTCCAGCAATACAAATTATATTTTCCTATGTCATGTCAGTGACATTTTATAAGGAAACAATATTTAACCCCAAGCACCACCAAAGGGAACACATCACTTGCTACACTTGTCAGCCACCGCAATATCTATTCAAGCGCCACCGCAAAACCAACCCGTGCACTACAGTCCTGTTTGATCGCATCTGTCCATCATCCCATAGCTCCATGATTGTCATTCAGTATCGTTGGCGGTGTGTACATTATACTTATCATTGGTGTTTTGTTTTTTCTTATACAGTGCCTGAGGCCTTCATGGTCACTTGCAATACACCTGGCTATGTTGTGACTTAATTTTTTGGGGGTTCCCTATGAAATAGCCACGAGTTATCGGATCATACTGAAACTGCTTTGGCTCTCTCCTACCAAACCAATAAGGCATGTGCTACACAAGTAGGCCACATCTTCCCTCAGCCATGTTCTTATCTGCTGAATACACAAGTCCTTTGCAATGCCTACAACTGCTTAAAAACTGTACCGTATATTATACAGTCTGTGTGGAATATTAAATCGCGATAGGGCCGACGAACTAAGTTCTCGCAAAAATAAGATTATATGTTGTGAAGGCTGTCCTGGGATGCGAGATGTCAAAACGCTTGGTTTGCTGGCAAGTGGTGACATTTGGCAACTGAGCACACGTCACGACTTGTAGTCGGTGCGCCTCTGGCAACTGTGAGGGGAAGATTAATTGTGTGGGTTCCCGCGCCATGTGGCCGTGTTTTGTCTAGTTTAAGGTGCATTAACCCGACATAGTGGCCATCAGAGATGTCCAGGAGGGTTACTACAAGAGACGACATTGCAGCAGTGATTGCATTGTACAAAGCAAACCATGTACTGAGAGAAATTTCGGCTCGGACTGGTGTGGGGTTGCGTGTTGTTCAAAATCTTGTCAAGCGTTTCCGTGAGCTTGGAGAGGACATGTTACCATCTCCATTACCTAAGTCTGGTAGGCCTAAATTATTGTCTCCACGGACACTTAAGGTTATTTCTCGACAAGTTCGGTCCAATCCCTCACTCACAGCACGCGAAGTGAGAGAGAAACCCTCGTCTTTTGAGTCACGTCTCGTTACGTTGTGTTCAACAAGCCCTGCACGATGACCTGGGATTTAAGAGCTTTCGTGCCTGCCGTAAACCTCTGTTGACGAAGAGACAGAAGGAAAATAGAGTGAAATTTTGTAAGAAATATGAAGTGTGGGATTTAGAGACATGGAGAAGTGTATTGTGGTCCGACGAGGCTACGTTTTCTGTGACTGGGAGTAGTGGTGGGAGGGTGTACAGCTCGCCCCACTCAGACGCACAGCTCCCACAGTACACTGTAAAGACTATTAAGCACCCTGCCTCGCTTATGGTTTGGGCTTCCTTTACGTATTATGGTGTTGGTGAACTAGTAATCCTCCCTAAGAACCAGATGATGAATCAGTACAACTATCTTGAACTGCTCAGTGATTTCTTACCTGAATCATTTGATAAAGCTAAGGCAAGCCTTTCATGCAGGACGGTGCCCCATGCCACACTGCTAAAAGTGTCATACAGTGGCTCAAAGACTGTGGGGTACCTTTCTTTAATGCCTGGCCTGGCAGTAGCCCAGATCTTAACCCAATAGAAAATTTGTGGTCCACTGTTAAGCGTCGTTTGCGTGACGCTGACACATCATCAATCCCGAAGCTAGAGGCAGCCATCAAGGAGACCTGGGCTAACTTGCCACCTAACCTCTTGCAAAACCTTGCTGACAGTGTTCCTCGAAGGCTAAAAGACTGTCTGAAGCGCAGAGGAAACACTACAAACTATTAATTGAAGTGGCAAGTGTTACTTGACTTTATTTATACTGTACTGTATAACATAATCGTAAATATGCATATTTTTTCAGCACACGATCTAACAATCCGCGCAGACTGTATGTAGCTACCAGTTCCTTGGACGATGGTAACATGGAGTAATTTTCATATTTACACTGCTGTAATTTACCTCTAAACTTGTACTTCAGCTTAATGGTAACTTTTATGTACAGTACATGACAATTTGTGCTTATTATTGTACACAACCGATTTTTGTGTTCATGGTCCCAAGGTCCATAGTATCAGCATTACCGGGGTATGTCACTCTTTAGTTCAAAACCTCACATGTTGACAAAATGGTTGGTCACAAAGGTGTACAGACTAGAGAAGTCCTAATCTGTACAATATATTAATAAAAAAGTGCTGGGAGGGATACTAATAAGAATCCCTTATATAAACTAAGCGGTGGAGCTGAACACGTGTATCTAGGACGAATAAATTAATTGGTTTACCGAATAGCATATAGATCAACATTTACCTTAACACCTGGTAGGAATATATTGAACAAAAATATTAATTTATAGATTATATTAATGTATCTTTCATACTAACATGCAGGAGGGGATAATAGCAGGAAAATTTACATAAGCTTAGTGGTGAGGTTATACACATGTGCATATTTGATGAACATTACAATGACCACAATACTTTGGATATCAACATAATCACATCAGAGAATATAAATTATATATTTTCTCACATTGGAGTATCGTCCAAGATCAAGAATGGTGGATCGTGCAGCATAAGACTGAGCTACATCAACAATAATCACAGCGTGTTCCACAGCTCCATACTCCCGTACTTCCGTCCACACATCAGATGATGAACCTCTGACAAGATAAATGAATGTTGTAATCTATGAAAGCAAACAATATGGAAATACATTAGGAAATTCTGAAAAGGACAAAGATGCTATAAAAATGTAGATAATCCCCTAACCTTTAAATCTTCAAGGGTATTACCTGTACTGTAGTGAATTCTTAAAGGGCAGAAATTTAGGACACTCAAATAGTGTGGCCTTAAATGTTGAGGTACTTGGTGTTAAGATATTGTATACAAATGAATTTTGAAAAATATAAAACTGAATGCAACTCCAAAACACCCACCAAAAAAAACTTCCCTACAATGAACTTCAACACAACATACTGTATACAGTTACTCTCAACATGCTTGAATGTGATTCTTAATACAATACTATACCTACAGCATTCTATTTTCCTAAGTGCTGTACATACACTATATTTAAGAGTCCCCATCATCACAATATATATATATATATATATATATATATATATATATATATATATATACACACACACTTGTACCCCACTTAACGCGGTCAATAGAACCCAGAGGGTCCCGCGTTAAGTGAAATCCGCGTTAAGTGAACAACAGAACATATGGGATAAATTCCAATAGAAACCAGCCCGACCCCCAAACTCCACTTTTTGAAGACACATAACTATGTTGTAGTAAAAATAACATCTTAATTTTATGATGGTACATGCACACAATTAATACTTAAGAGAAATAGAGAAATACAGTCGCCAAGTTAATGTCCATTCAAATAATGGACTCAACTCCCTCCCACTCTTCTCACACTACACTCCCTGGCTCTTCCCTCTCAGAAATTTTGGGGGGAAAACAAGGTATAGTAATAAATAATACCTCAAACTAAAGTTAGCATAATATAATTGAAATTGTTGGATTCCTTGTAAGACCAGGAATATTTTGAATATAAATGTCATATATTTTGCACAAAAGATAACATATTTACTCAGAGTAAACATTATATCTAAAATTTGTATGTCTAATGCAAAATCTATGATGTTTATATTCAAAATGATCATCAAATTGTAAGAATTCCAGCAATAGAAATTATATTCTGGCCGGGTAATTTGTATGAATTTTATGAGCTAAAACAAATATCTTCAGTTAATAAAAAAAAAAAATATTCTTCAAGACACTATCTGTCAATCAAAGTCCCCACCTTGCCTTCCCCCCTCTTCCAACCGGCCAGATGGTCGGTCCGTCCCAACCCTCCCCCACCAACCCTCCCTTCAAGAGAAAGGTTGGGTGAAAAAACTAGATTTTAACATTTAGTATTAAATAATACCTCAGATTAAAGTTAGGATAATATAATTGACATTGGTGGATTCCTTGTAAAACCAGGAATATTTTGAATATAAATGTCATATATTTTGCACAAAAGATAACATATTTACTCAGAGTAAACATTATATCTAAAATTTGTATGTCTAATGCAAAATATATGATGTTTATATTCAAAATGATCATCAAATTGTAAGAATTCCAGCAATGTAAATTATATTCTGGACGGGTAATTTGTATGAAATTTATGAGCTAAAACAAATATCTTCAGTTAATAAAAAAAAGATATTCATCACACGTGCCAGGTGGTCGGTCGTGCCAGGTGGTCGGTCGCCGGTCCCTTCCTCCCTCCCACCCCCCACCAACCCTCCCTACCAGATGAATGTGTGGGAATACCAGACTGTTTACCTTTTTAGTAATAAATAATAAATCAGACTAAAGTTAGGATAATATAATTGACATTGCTGGATTCCTTATAAGACCAGGAATATTTTGAATATAAATGTTATATATTTTGCACAAAAGATAACATATTTACTCAGAGTAAACATTATATCTAAAATTTGTATGTCTAATGCAAAATCTATGATGTTATATTCAAAATGATCATCAAATTGTAAGAATTCCAGCAATGTAAATTATATTCTGGCCAGATAATTTGTATGAATTTTATGAGCTAAATAAAAAAATTATACTTCACCCGCGTAAAGGGGTACACCCACCGCGGAAGGTGAGCATCCTGGGTTCTGGCAGGGCACCGTGTAAACGTGGAAACGCGGAATATGGGACCGCGTAAAGTGAGGGTTGACTGTATATACAGTATATATATATGTATATATATATATATATATATATATATATATATATATATATATATATATATATATATATATATATATATATATATATATATATATATATATATATATATATATATATATATATATATATACAGTTGACCCTCGTTAATTCGGACCCCTTTAATCCGGATTTCAGATAAATCGTACGAAATCTGAACTGTCAGTATCAAATTTCTGGTTCTGGGATTGCCCCAGTTGCAATTGGAGTTGCAATTTCAAATTCTGTGTCACTACTAATGAATAACGAAGTCTCTGGTGCACTGCACTCTAAGATTAAGAGAAAACGGACGACTCAGGTGTTGTGAAGTGAGAGAAAACGGACTCCTATGACGGGGCACTCAAATAAAGAGACATGGCTACATGTTTTGTGGACTACCCACTGTACAGTATTGATCGTATAATTTTCATCACTTTGTAATAAACCTAGTCATGCCTGTGTGTGTTTATGATAATTACCATAATATTATATATTTATATATTTAGCGGTTGTTCAAACACAAGGCCTCACACATGCCACTCAGACTGACAGACTTGACAAGTTTTACCAACCATAGACAGTTGAAGCTTTAAACATCACTCACAATGGATCTTGAATATTCCAACTGTAATCAGACATACCTAAGTTGCCTCAACAATTGCAACCCCAGTTACAATATCAAATTCTGTGTCATTACTAAGGAATAACGAAGAATGGTGTAGTGCACTCCAAGATTAAGAGAAAACGGAGGACTCAGGCGTCCTGAAATGAGAGAAAACGGACTCTAATGACGAGGCACTCAAATAAACATACACATAGCTGAATAATGCAATATTATGCAATATTAACCCCTAAATCGGTTAATTCGGATAATCGGCTAAAACGGACACCCTTCCCCCTATTAGTCCATTTTAACGAGGGTCGACTGTATATATATATATATATATATATATATATATATATATATATATATATATATATATATATATATATATATATATATATATATATATATATATATATATATATATATATATATATATATATATATATATAATATATATATATATATATATATATATATATATATATATATATATATATATATATATATATATATATATATATATATATATATATATATATATATATATATATATATATATATATATATATACATACAGTAAAAGTCCAAAAATTCGGACCACCCGAAAATCCGGACTTTTCGAAAACTCAAACCTTTTTTTTTTTAGTTGGCTTTTGTGTGTATGTGTGCATGCGTGAGCACCACAGCTACACAGCGACAACAAGCGACCACGCGGTTGCCACTTTAAAACGAGCAATCAAACTGTGACAACGTATGTAATTTTGAGTCCTACTCTTTCCATTTACAGAGTACTGTACAAGCCCATAATAATTGCTCCTAAAGTAGATAAACTTCGTCGTGTGAAGAGAAAGAAGAACACGTTGAAATTGAGTGACAAACTTGAAGTAATTAAGAAACTAGAACGTGGTGTGAGCAATACTGTTCTAATGGAAAAATACGACATTGGAAAGTCTACAATTTATGATATAAAAAAGGCAAAGAATAAAATTTTAGAAGCATGCTATATTTGCTAATGAATAAACTATCAAAATGTACCTGTTCATCTCTTCTTTATTTCTCCTTAAATTTGAATTTTAAAAGTACTGCCTGAGAATCCGGAAAATCAGAAAAGACCCAATGCCCAAGCAGTTCGGATTTTTGGACTATAGATATATATATATAGTGGTCCCTCGGTTAACGAGCACAATTCGTTCTAGAAGGTTACTCGTTAAACGAAACCATTGTTTCAATGGGTTTTGGGTAATTGGTTCCAGCTCACCAAAAATTGCCTAATATCAACAAAAAAGGTAGTAAAGTACAATTACTTTGAGGCGTGTATGTAGAAGGCTCCTGGATGATGATGATAATGATGATGATGGGAATTAGAATTGGGGTGAAGGAGAAGGGAGAAGAGAAGGCATTGGGGTGGAAGAGAAGTCACCCCATGGCACCATTTCACCCATAAAATATTAGTTCACTTGGTGTAATTCAAGATTATTTTCTTTAAATCAACACTGCACTGCATTATATATTGTCAATATGTAAAATAAATTTCAAATTGACCAATAATTTGGGAAACACAGAAAAAGCATTTATTTGAAGAGTCTCAAGCAAGATGTTACCTCCACTGAAAAGACACACAGACTAACGCCTGTATGGTGTGTTGACAGGCTGCATGGCGGGCAATAAACTAGCTTCCTATACTTCAATAATGTTCAATAATTGTTAAAGTGACTAAAAAATTTAATATAAAACTTTTAAAATTATTGAATAGTATAAACTTCTTGATATTTACTAAAATAGTAAGGAATTTAAGCCCTAGAACCGATTACTGTATTGGTGGACTAATACTACAGCTGGTGGACTAATACTACAGCTAGTGGACGGCCAAATGCAAGCGAAAACATGTTGAGGTCGGCTTGTAAAAAACTCGTTAATCCAGGGATTGCTCGTTAACCGAAATTAAGAATCCTATGGAAGGTAACTCGTTAACCGAAGTGTCACTATATATATATATATATATATATATATATATATATATATATATATATATATATATATATATATATATATATATATATATATATATATATATATATATATATATATATATATATATATATAGTCAACGCATAAAGTGAATAACATAACATATGGGATTAATTGAAATAGAGTCCAGGCCGACCCCCAAACTCCACTTTTTGACGACACACAACTTTGTTGTAGTAAAAATTTTATCTTAACTTTATGATGGTATGAAAAAACAAGTAAGATAGAAGAGGTTAGGTTAGGAAAAATAAAGGTTAACATAGGAAAAATAAAAGTTAGGTTAGGAAAACTAAAAGTTATGTGGAACACTTACGTTAGTAGAAGAGATGGGTCGGCATACGGGGATGGAGGCTGGTTCCGAGGCAGAGGGCAGATTACTGGCCCTCAGGTGAATCACCATTACTAGGTGAATCACCATCACTGTCACTTACAGTTATCAGGGCTTCCCTGACAAATCCCTCAAAGTCATCTTCACTGTCACTATCACTGGCTTGGGCTGGCTGTGGGCGAAGAACTCGGTTATGCTTTTTTGACGGCTGGTGTTTATGTTGTCTTGATACACCGTGATGTACGGCTCCATAGCCTGCACTAGCCGGGTATGGAAGACTTCATAGCGGTCATCGTCATTGTAGCGGGAAAGGAAGGACTTCATTTTCTCTGCACACTCCATGGCACCCTTAATATCACTATGAGTTAAACTGTGTTCTTCGGAGAATGACACACCTTCTTCCTCCTCTTCACTGACGTGATCTTCTTCCAACATCTCGTCGGCAGTCACTGCAGGATCTCTGATCACCTCCAGGATGTCGTCGTTGGTGGTCTCGGAGAAGCCTGGAACTGTAACAGTCTGCGCAGCTTCTCTGGCAAGGTCCACTGCTACTGCAACATTCTGAACCTCACCAGTCACAGATTGACTCCTCCTCTCACCTGGTATTCCATGCAACACATGTCTCCATGCGTGACGAATTGTAGCAATAGACAGCTGATCCCATGACTCCACCAAGAAGTCCACAGCTTTCTTGATGTTAAATACTCTCCAGAATTGTTTGAACAGTATTTTTTGCTGTGCCAACTGTTGATCCTCATCTTCTTCGCTCTTGCTATCGGTGGTGGTGTCACTCAGGTTACGCAACTCTTCCCTGGTGTTGGTGTAGTCGTTCAGGAGTTTGAATTTTTTTGCAGCTTTTACATTACAGATTAACTCTTGGTCCATGGGCTGTAATATAGACGTAGTGTTGGGAGGAAGGAAGACCACTTTTACGTTGGGGTGACGATCTAACAGTAGGGGCGAGTGTCCTGGTGCGTTGTCCAGCAGCAACAAAATATTGAATGGCACATTCTGTCGCTCACAGAATTTCTTTACATCGGGAACAAAACAGTCATCAAACCAGGAGAGGGACAGAGTAGAGAACATCCACGCCTTACGTGCGGTCAGCCAGTGGACATTTAGCTTGGTCATGTCCATGGTTTTGTAGGCGTGCGGCTTGCGTGCTGTGTGGATCACCGATAACTTGAGCTTACAGGTACCAGAGGCATTGGTGGTAAACAGGACGGTGATGCGTTCCTTCTGCATCTCCTGGCCCCGAATATTGCTGGCATTCTTTACAACGAAGGACTTGGAAGGTAGCTTTTTCCAGAAAAGACGAGATTCGTCCATGTTAAACACCTGGTCGTCACTGTACTGTCCTTCCTCCATAATCTCACGTAAAAACGGAGGAAATTCCGTAGCAGCAGCACGGTCAGCACTCGCTTCTTCACCACCAATGTTTATATTGGTGATCTTGTTCCGGATCTTAAACCTCTGTAACCACCCAGAGGAAGCATTAAAGGGTTTGGGCTCTGTAGTTCCCATCTTTCGTGCCACTGCAATGTACAGTTCACGTGCGTAGTCCTTAACAGAGCGCGTGTCGGCCGCCATGTTCCGTCGCGCCTGACGCACCAAGTACCTCACAAGTAATTTTTCTGTGTTGAGAAGGCACCTGGTTGTGAAAATACTTGATCATAGAAGCACCTGTAGACTTTGTGAACTTCATGTGCTCCTTTATCTTGGCTGCAACCTTCTTTATTGTTCGAATCGTAGATTCATTCACACCATGCTGGCGCGCCAAATCAATCTGCCTTGTTCCTTTCTCCAACTCTTGGATGATGGTATACTTCACCTCGTAGCTTAAGGAACGTCGTGTCTTCTTTGGCTTAGTGCCGCTGGGTCCAGGTAAGGAAAGGTTTCTCTCTGGGGGTGGTGGTCCGGCGGCAGCAATTTTAGAGAACACTGGATGCACGTTTACACGGTCTGGCGTGGAGGGATGAAACTGGCGCGGCTAGGTCAAGGATGGTCTTTCCTCCCTCCCTCCCTCCCCCGGGTGGACACGTCATAATACTTTAAGCCAATTACAGCTAGCAGCAGAAGGGGGTAGGGATGCATGGCCAATCACAGTCCGATACGTCATATGACGTCAGCGATAACGCAACAAAGACACACACTGCGCAACCTTACCGCGTGGCTTGCCCAAGCGGAGGGAGGAGGAGGGAGAGGCGAGGAGCACAGGCAGGCAGGCGGGTGGGGCGAATCTAAAAATAGCGTCGCGCCGGACACTCTCCGCGTAATGGGGTTCACGTACCGCGTAATGTGAGCACGTTAGGTTCTGGCAAGGCACCGCGTAAACGTGGAAACGCGGAATGTGGGACCGCGTAAAGTGAGGTTTAACTGTATATATATATATATATATATATATATATATATATATATATATATATATATATATATATATATATATATATATATATATATATATATATATATATATATATATATATATATATATATATATATATATATATATATATATATATATATATATATATATATATATATATATATATATATATATATATATATATATACACACACATATATACACACATATACACACACACAGTAAACCCCCGCTTTACGCGGTTTCACTTTACGCGGTACCCTGCCGAAACCGGAATGCTCACTTTCCGCAGTGTGTGTACCCTTTTACGCGGAGAGCGGCGCGAGCAGGGTGCGCACAAGGTCGCCCAGTCATCAAAACATTACCGAGTTCTTCACCCGCCACCCACCACAGCCGGCCCAAGTCAGTGATAGTGATAGTGAGGATATGGACTTATATGGGCTTTGAGGGGTTTGACAAAGAGGCCCTGCAAGCCTCTGTGGTGGATAGTGATACAATTGATACAGGTGGGGGCCAATAATCTGCCCTCTGCCTTGGAACCAACCCTCCATCCCCGTGTGCCCAGCCATCTTTTCTACGAATGTAAGTGTTAAAAAACCTAATATTATTGATATTTCTCTTAATTATTAATTGTGTGTGCATACCATCATAAAATTAAGAAGTTATTTTTACTACAACGTAGGTATTGTGTCTGAAAAAGTGGAGTTTGGGGGTCGGTCCGGTCTCTATTTCAATTAATCCCATATGTTATGTTGCTCACTTTACGCGGGCCGCCGTGGCTTCAATTAACCGCGTAAAGTGAGGGTTCACTGTGTGTGTGTATATATGTGTGTGTGTGTGTGTGTATATATATATATATATATATATATATATATATATATATATATATATATATATATATATATATATATATATATATATATATATATATATATATATATATATATATATATACTAAACACACTCATTATTTACCGGTAAGGTTGCAGATTCACCCATGAGGAAGATCCATTACTGGCTCTTTGCTTCTCTGCCAGTAAGTCAATGACTGAATTGCTCATATCTTCCACAGTATAAGATCGCTGCAAATCTGTACCCACATCTCCCTAAGATATGAAATACAGTAATTACAATAAAAAGTTTGAAAGTTTCTGAAATTAGGCTTAAAATGACAGTAAACGTAACAAGCACAAAATCCAAATTTTTTTCCTAAATTAATACAGTAAACCATCACAATTTCTGACAAATAGGGAGGGGGGATGAAATGCAATTTTCCAAAACTGCTAATAGGACCTCACAAGAACCCAATCCTTTAACAGATACAAGGCTACTCATCTCGTGTTTACCTCAGGCGCAAGCAACTGGGTAATGCTTAGTAAGTCAAGACAAAAATAAATATAAATCCCAAACAAGAACCATATTTTTGCTCCTTCTCCCAAGAGTGCTACTAATAAAATACAAAAAGACATCCATTATTGTATTAGGCTAATCTGGCACTGAAAAGTCCATTATCCAACCAGGAACGAACTCATAGCAATGGTTTTAAACTAGGCAAATTTGGATTTAGGCGCGTGATAGGTAAACACTGATTTGGAAATAAGTAGTGGATGAGTGGAACAAGTTACCAAACTTCATCATTAACTCGAACACACTTGATAGCTTCAGATAAAAGTTAGACGGATATATGAGTGATAGGGGTTGGGTGTAAAAGGGACTGCCCAGTATGGGTCAATAGGCTCACTGCAGTTTCCTCCATTCTTATGTTCTTATTGAGAGGGTTCACTGTCTGTGTTATTTAGTGTATTATGAAGATACTGTGCTCCGTATATACATAAACTTGGGAATAAATTAAAGTCTTGACTCTTGAGTATGTTTCAAACTGTCAACAAATCAATCAGTAAACCAATTTTTGAACTTACACTTGTGAAAACTAGTAAATGATTTTCAATAAGACATCACAAGCAATGACACTCATCTTTCATTTTGGATAACTAAGATATCCAGTTATTAATTCTACTTCTTAAAGAGATAAACAGCATTCAGTATTAAATTTAACTTCAAAAGTGAATAAAAATACTGTACAGTAAATCTACAATTTAGAATAAAATACTGTACAGTAAACAAACCTATTTCAATGATCAGCCATACCTTGCTGGTGCGTGCAGCAAATAGCCTGATGGTTGGGTATCCCATAATCTCATGTTCTCGACAAAGTGGTATGTTTTCATTTTCGGCACAATCAAGAACGCCCACTTTTATTGTGTGTTCCCAATCTGAAATCAGTTTAACAAAATCATTAAAAGGCTTAAAAGACACTTCATACAGGAGTTATAGGAATGTAATCTTATGTTACAATAATAAAAACAAAGACATGGAAGAAAGGGATAAAACCAAGTAAAATTCATCACAAAATCTTACTTCAACATGGAAGCAATTGGATCAGTAAAGTGAACATTAACAAGTGGGTTGAACAATTCAAGAATGGTTGAACAAGCATTGTGGACGAAGATCATGTCGGATAACCTGTCAAAGTTTCAAAACCCACATTGCACCAGAACACTGAGCAGAAAATTTTGGGAAACCGACGCACCCCACATACAGTCCATATCTCGCACCATCAGACTACCACATGTTTGGTCTGCTCAAAACAGCTTTACGTGGAATGCATTTTTCAAATAATGAAGAAGTGAAGAATGAAATCTGAAATTGGTTACGGAGTTAGCCGAAAGAATTTCTCACCACAGGAATAAGAAAACTCATAAAATGGTGGGACAGGTGCATAGCTGTAGAGGGAAATTATGTGGAAAAATAGGTACTGTATGCAATCATTAATAATACAGTAAATCATTATTTCTGCAGCTATATTCATTTGTCTTGTTACTTATTGAATCACCCTCATATTTGAGCCTTGGCCTGCTTTTATCATAAACCAAGTAACAGTTGTTTCAAATTGGCCACCATACCCTCCTTGTTATTTACGATGAGGTCCAGTGGTTTGGGTGTTTGTCCCCCTCCACAGCGAGTCAGATTTTTGACATGTTGGAATAGAAAATTGTCTCAAGAATTTCTACAAACAAAGTTGCGGGATTATTTAGATCATTTCGTGAAATTTCATTCCTTCAGTCGATGTTGTAATGACCATAGTCATACATGTTAGTTTAAAATAAAATCAGATGATTCATATTGCACTTAATAGCCCATAAAACATGTACCTATAACTTATTCTTGAGTCACCCTACTGAGACTTGGAATACTGTGCCAAGGAGAAACTAACTTCAAAATTCTTCTGTTCCTTGACAATGCTCCAGCTCATCCTCCCAATTTCGATGACTTGCATGACTTGTTGCACTTTTGTAGGAGGGGGAAGTGCCTCGATAAGTCAGAATTTGGGATAACTCGGCAAGGCCAGAGCCCCATATGTGCCGAGTTATCGAGGGTTTACTGTATTATCTCAGCTATGACGTTACAATAAGGTCAGCCTATCTGTGTAAAAAAGAATATCCAAAGCCAGACCCTTGGCTTCAAAGCTAAAGCCGGTGTCGTGCCCCTGGTTTTGAAACTGAAGCCTTTAGAGAGTTTTGAAGCTGATGCCAAGCAAAAAAACTTGCTTTCCAGAAGTTGAATCCAGCTTCCACCCCATGTCTGGTGGTGATATCAGTGGGAAATATAAAGGAAGTACAGTACCTGTCTCAAGATACCACTAACTATCTTAACAGAAACAGCAAAATGATAAGTGGTATGTGGGCTACAGATGTGGTTATTATGGGCGCATCTAGCTTGCTGGGTATTGACATTGTTGTAAAGGTATAAAGATTATCTATGAGCAAATCAGTCATCTTGAGCATCGCAAAAGACCACAAGCACCATCTCTCAGATATTATTCACCACAGCCAGAAACATGATGTAGGAAAGATCCCAAAACCATTTGATGAGACTAAATGGAGCAAAATCAGGGCATCCAAATATTTTACAGAAAAATTTTGTTCTATCTACAATGAATCAATGAGAGGCCACACAAGTTGCTATAAGGACTTCACAGCTGTGGCTGCTATGGGTATCACGGAAGACAAAGGGCATCTAAGTGAGAAGCAACAGCATATACCAAGATCTGACATTAGTAGACCAGGCACTAGCACATCTGGAATATTCCCAATTGTCTGCTTATTCTGCAGGAATTTTTCAAAATTAATGGGAAAAGGCAAGCAAGAGTACCTTGGAAGCTGAGTAACTGATGCAGTCAAAACCACTATCAGAAGATGCTGCTGTACTGTTAGATGATGGAAAGATGCTTGCTAAAATTAATGGCACTGACATGAAGGCCAAAAAAGTGAAATAGCTACAGGTACCATCATTCGTGTAGACCTTCTAGCTTCACAAACCTGAAGTTCTTGGCAAAAAGAGAGGCCCTAAGTTCAGTTCTCATGATGCAGTATTCAAGTTACTGAAGAAATACAGAGTGTAATTAACAAGCTCATTGAAAATGAAAGAGTAGAAAAACTAACATTACTACATACGAAATACTTAACTCATCTTATGCTCCTTCAGTATATTATTTTTGAAAGATATCTTTCAAAAATAATATACTGAAGGAATTTCCTGAGCAGTTAAGACATACAGTACAAGTTAACAAAATAGGACTTATCATCAGCTCAGTAAGATAAGCCAAGAAACAGCTTCCAGAAGGGCACAGTGTGATAGGAATACAATTATAGATGTAGCTTATCATCTAAGATCTCATCTTAAAGAAATGGAATGCTCACAGAAAAATCTGCCAGACAATTTAACAGCAAACATAACTCCAGTAATAAGTACAGGTCAAGGAGAAGTCCCAAATGATCTAGTAACTATTTTCAGAGCTTTTAATTTGGAATAACTGCTGATATAGATAATGAAAGGATCTCCAGACATGTTCATTTAGTCTGTCATGATGTACTGTACAGTAATCAATGCTGTAAGCAAAGGGAAAATCAAATCAGGGAAACCTCCAACTATGGGACTTACCATGAAGAGCATGACAGGATCCCAGAAAATGATAGAAATTCTAAATTAAATTGGACACTGTAGGCTACCATATTGTGAATGAAACTGAAACTAGCATTGCCATGGAAATATGTGCTAGACATATTGCAAACCCAGGTGGTCTCATTCAGCAACCAGGTTTCACTATAGCATTGGCATGAGATAACTACAAGGAACTAACAGAAACACTTTCTGGTAGTGGCACAGTACATCTGTTACCGGAGCACTATCCCAGAATTCAATCAGAATAATGTACTGTACCAGTAAATGGTGGGGATCAAATGTCACAAACTAGTCAGACCCACCTAAAAGATCTGAAAGAAAATTTTGCATTAGTTACCATCGTGAAATGTTTGGTGGCTAACTCTTTATCCAACCTACCCTAGTGGCCTAATAATATGGTCATGCAGCCTGTGGGCTAAGTATCCACAATATTACAGCATACAGTACACTAAATGATCAAAATTAAAATGTGTTAAAACCAACTTTTAACTTCTAGTCCTGTTGTAATCTATAACTTCTTTCACCTTATTTCTGACATCATTTTAAAATTTGTCACAAGGACCACACTGGCAACAATTACAGGCATTACCGAGTACTAATACTGTACTGTACAGTCGGCCCTTCACATACGCGGGTTTAGCATTCACGGATTAGCAAATACGCGGATTGCCCCGCCGGAGGAATATTCTGTACATTGAAGTAATTGAAGTACATTCAAATCGCGCACGGCACCGAACACTGCACACTGCCCGCTCCCGCTACCTCACACACTCACGCATAGCGCGTCGTCACCCCACCTCGCGCTCCCTCACTCAGTCAGACTCGCTGTAACCACGCTTGTGTTGACATCAGCATTGTAGTTGCAAAAATATTACATTTCCGTGAATGTATTATATCAAGCACAGTATGAATAGAATATCACTAATATAACAGTATTTTAACCAAAAACTATTAAAAAAACGAGTAACATATCTTGAACATCGGAAGGTTAGGTAAAGTCTTTTGTTTTCATGTAGTTTATCCTAATTTACATTGAAATACATTACGTTTCAGCAAAACTACTATTCATTTCTGAGAATATGGAAATGTAATATTTTTGCTGAAATGACATACATATTACAGTGGAAAGTGGGATAAAATTGTGACGAAAACAATGACTTTCGCTTTCTTTCGTTCAAAAAATGTTACCGTAATCGCTTTTCAAATGGTTTTCAGTTAAAAACTGTTATATTACAATAATATTCTATCCTAATTCACTTGTGATGCAACAGTTTTTTAACTGAAAACCATTCGAAAAGCGATTACGGTAACATCTTTTGAACGAAAGAAAGCGAAAATCATTGTTTTCGTCACAATTTTATCCCACTGTACACTGTAAAATGTACGTCATTTCAGCAAAAATATTACATTTCCGTGAATGTAGTATATCAAGCACAGTATGAATCGAATATCATTGTAATATAACAGTATTTTAACAGAAAACTATTAAAAAAACGAGTAACATCTCTTGAACATCGGAAGGTTAGGTAAAGTCTTTTGTTTTCGTCATGTATTTTATCCTATTTTACATTGAAATACAGCACGTTTCAGCAAAACTACTATTTATTTCTGAGAATATATTCATTCAGGCGCAGTTTAGGTAAAATATACCTGTGATGTAACAGTTTTTTAACTGAAAACGATTCGAAAAACACGTACCCTCTCGCCCTGTTCAAGGAGAAGACTGGGAGGAGCTGTTTGGTGCTGAAGACGATGACAAGGAAAATGATTTTGATGGATTTTAATGAAAATATTCAAAAATATGGTATCGTAGTATTTATTCAAGTGAATTAGGATAGAATATTATTGTAATACAACAGTAGTGACGATGTGGAAGAGGCAGAGGGATAGAGTGGGGAGGAGTGGTGACGCTGGAGGCGGGAGCAAGGACGAGTGGAGATGCCAGCCAGTACATTACGGTTGTACAGTATTAACTATTTTTATAGCTCTTTTTGCATTTTAATATTAAATACTGTACATTACGTTTCAACAAAACTACTATTAATTTCTGAGAATATGTAAATGTAATATTTTTGCTGAAATGACGTACGTATTACAGTGGGAAGTGGGATAAAATTGTGACGAAAGCAATGACTTTCGCTTTCTTTCGTTCAAAAGATGTTACCGTAATCGCTTTTCGAATGGTTTTCAGTTGTGGGAGTATGAGGCTAATGATAGAATATTATTGTAATACAGTACAACAGTTTTTTAA